TGATATTGTCCACAAAACTACTAATATATTGTCTGTTAGTCTTAAAAATACCCCACAAGATGTACACCAGAAGCTATTAAGTCCTTAGTTTTTTGTGGAAGAACACATTGTACTTTATGAGGGTATAGGTCAAAGAATTTAGTCAATGGGCCTGGAAAGGCAAAACTGCAAATGGTGCTTTAATTCTAAATGTAGCTGAAGATGTCTCCTTGCAGTGGGAAAATAAGTATTTTCCCTCAATTAACCTGATTTAATATTCACATTTGATGGGCTTCTTCAAGCAGAACTAATAGGTCAAGAATAGGAGGCAGAGACACTGTGGGAAGAATGGCAAAACACTGGGAGGTTGTTACCCTCTCTCTGGGCTCTCAGAGCACTTCCCTGGGGCCTCTCCGTGTTTTCCTCCATCATCAGAGCTGGCCCAGTGCCTGGCACACACCAGACTCTCTGTATGTGTCAGTTGAATAAATATATGAGTGAAGAGGCAGGAAGAAAACCGAAGTATGGCCGTACAGGACGTTCTGCTGAACTGTAAGAAAGGAGGTAGTCCTTGCCTCCCCCTGGCTTACCAGTTGAGGTTATCTTGGTATCTGCAGCAGGCTGCAGTGAAATTTAGTTTTAATCAGGTTAGGATCTGCTGTTTTTCTTTAAAGTTACCAGGGGATGGATAGAGTGGGAAGAAAATTACGAAGCATTTTATTAGAAGAGTATTAAGAAGGGAACTGGAAAACAAAATAAAAATGCAGGCAGTCAAAGTCCAGGTGGCTCCATTTTTGCGGCCATTCTGGTTCTGGATGATTTTCTGGGCCTTTGGCCCGGCCCAGGTCTTCTCTTCTTTTCTCAATCAGGTCTTCAAACAACTCTGCAAGTTTGATTCCTTCCCCGGAGGCTTGGGAGTTTTCATTTGTAAATCTTGGGGACCTAGCTCTAAGTGGAATCTATGTTGCCCACCTATGTTTTGGCAAACAGCAAACCAACATATGACCTGGGGGTTTGGGAGTCTGTCTGGTTGCCTCAAGGCCCTGGAGATCA